AGTGAAACTCCGTCTCAAAAAAAAAAAAAAAAAAAAATTGCATTGTAACAAGATTCCCTGAAAGATCTGTATATACCTTTAAGTTTGAAAAGCACTCCTTTAAAGGTCTAATGGCTCCGTCTTCCAATAAGGATATTGAACAGTGGCTTTCATAAAGCTATAGAGACTTTTTTAATCCTATAGAGGATTTGCAGAAAGGAGAAAAAAGACTTTTTTCTGTGCACACGAAATCCTTCATTTTAGAATCTAGCTGTGTATTATAGCCTAAGGGGGCCATCCCTGGTGTGGCTGGGCATCCACACATTTTTATTTATTTATTTATTTTTTTAAGAAGAGAGAAAGAATAAAAAAAGAAAAAAGAAAAAAAAAGAATGAAGGAGAGGAAGAAAGGGGAAGAGGGAGAGAGAACAGGGGGTTGCTTTATTGCCTGGGCTAGAATGCAGTCTAAAATTGGGTATGCCTATAATTGTGTTTAATAATAGACATGAAAAAAAAAATGAGGGAAGAAAATAACTAACAAGCAGCCAACCAATATTTCATTTAAACCTGTAAATAAATAGGTGTGATGTGGTACTGATAAGAGTGTATATTTTGTGTATTTAAAGTGGAGAGTTCTATAAATGTTAATTAAGTCTACTTGTTCCGGATCTGAGTTCAAGTCCTGGATATCGACGTTAACTTTCTGTCTCATTGATCTGTCTAATATTGATGTTGAAGTCTCCCACTATTATTGTGTGGGAGTCTAAGTCTCTTTATAAGTCTTACATATCGGGTTATTCCTGTATTGGGTGCGTATATATTTAGGATCTTTAGCTCTTCTTGTTACATTGATCCTTTTATCATTATGTAATATCCTTCTCTGCTTCTTTTGATCTTTGTTGCTTTAAAGTCTATTTTATCAGCAAAAATTGCAACTCCTGCTTTCTATTTATTTATTTATTTTTGCTCTCCATTTGGTTGGTAAATTTTTCTCCATTCCTTTGTTTTGAGTCTTTGTGTATCCTTGCATGTGAGATGGGTCTGGATGTAGCATACCAATGGGTCTTGGCTTTTTTTGCCTGTCTGTGTCTTTGGATTGGGGGATTTAGTCAATTTAAATTTAGAATTAATAATAATATATGTGAGTTTAATATTGCCATTTAATGTTAGCTGGCTGTTTTGCCCAGCTAACATTAAATGGCAATATCTAAACAATAGGTCTATTTTACTGATGACAAATCTGGGATCAAATGCTTAAGAGAGTGGACAAAATCAGAATATAGAACAAGGAACGATCAGGGCCATCTATAATACCAGCCATTATTAAATAAGAATATACATCAGAGCTATCTGGGTGATTTTAATAAAAATACAGACAGACGTTTGAGCTTCTGGGGTCTGAGTATATACATTTTTAAAAAGTGAATCTATAAAAAAACAGCAGGAGGGGTGGGGACAGGATAGGCTGGATGTGGTAGCTCATGCCTGTAATCCCAGCACTCTGGGAGGACGAGGTGCGTGGATCACTTGAGGCCAAGAGTTTAAGACCAGCCTGGCCATCAGGCTGAAACCCCATCTGTACTAAAAATACCAAAACTAGCTAGGCGTGGTGACATGTGCCTCTAATCCCAGCTGCTCGGGAGGCTGATGCATGAGAACTGCTTGAACCCAGAAGACAGAGGCTGCAGAAAGCTGAGATTATGCCATTGCACTCTAGCCTAGGCAACAGAGTGAGCCTCTGTCTCAAAAAAAAGGGTAGGGAGCAGGATAGTGGTCATGGAAGTCAGAATCTGCTATAAAGTGTGTAACAACTCATGAGGCAAAACAAGGAGAGATTCTGGAGCAAAAACACAACTGCTTTGGTGTTTTTTTTTGAGATGGGGTCTCCCTTATATTGCCCAGATTAGACTCAAACTCCTGGGCACAAGTGATCCTCCCACCTCAGTCTCCTGAGTAGCTGGGACTACAGGTATATGCCACTGTGCCCAGCTGCAAAAACAGAATTGAACCCACTTCCCTAGCAAGACAATTGTCAGAATCTCCTATCCTATATCTGAAACAGTGAATAAAACAATCACAACCTCCTATCCTATATCTGAAACAGTGAACAAAACAATCACAGCCTCCTATCCTATATCTGAAATGGAACAAAACTGAAGACAAACAGATCCCATGCTGCTTACTGCAGATGAGGGTAGTGGAAACAGTACCTGCTTAGGCTTTGGCTTTGGAATCAGAGGCTTTATAATGGGAGACTTCTCATTATTTATAGTTCGATTAAGTGCAGTGGATTTCTTGGATGATTTGGCCATATTATCTAAAATATTAGTTGAACGTGCTGAATTCATTGACATGGCTGGTTCTTTGGAACTGGCTGATACCTAAAGAGCAAACTAGTGTTAGCACTTTATGCTTAAAGAAGAAAAATAAAACCCCAAGAAATTTATTTTTTCTTTAAATTTCTGTTAAGTTTGTATTGCTGTCTCATCTTCAGAACTAAATACATTTGGTACAATCCAAATTTAGAATGATACATATATTCCCAAATACTATAGCTCCAAGAAAGATAGGGGTATCTTTCAAAACGCTAAAGGTACTTAGAAGGTAAGTAGAAAAGACAACTTTCAGCCTAAGTGCTGCTTTCTTTTGTTTCCACATAGATCAGTCTTTAATGCCTCCAAGTCTGGGGAGAGTCATCTCCTCATTTGAAAATATTTCTTTGTATGGAAATACATTTAAACAATATAAAACATAACTTCGAAGAGTTTACCTTGAAGGGATTTACTCGTCCTTGGCTGCTAAAGGTAACTGCACCTTTCACAAAAAAGAAACCCTTGCTTAATATGGTAGAAAATAGATGACTTCTGACATCTATAATACTAAACAGAATATTTTAATCCCCATTAAATGAAAACAAATGTATTTTGCAACTTTTTAAAATATTAACAACAGGCATCCTCTTTCCTACTTCTAAGCCAAAATAAAAGCTATTAAATGTGAACTATCCCAATGTGCCACTATGAAACATATTCACTATGTACAGATCTTCTGCTACTGCTGAAGAGGGGTAGCTCATCTGAGCTAAGGTTAATAATCTGTTTACTTGTGTTCTGCATCCTACACCCTCCTGCTTTGTCAAAAAACCTGACCTATCAAGTTTCTTGACACCCTACATCTTTGACTTTTCCCTATGTATTGGCCCCTCAAGTTTCCCAACTTGAAACAACAAACAAACATTCTCTAAACGACATTCCTTCCAGTCACCCTTTTCTCTTGCCTCTGGCATCCAGCCTTTTTTTTTTTTTATGTTTTTTGGGAGACAGAGTCTCACTCTTATTGCCCAAGCTAGAAGACAATGGTGCAATCTGGACTCACTGCAATCTCCGCCTCCCAGGTTCAGGGGATTCTCCTGTCTCAACCTCCTGAGTAGCTGGGATTACAGACACCTGCCACCATGCCCGGCTAATTTTTGCATTTTTAGTTGAGACGGGTTTCGCTATGTTGGCCAGGCTGGTCTCAAACTCCTGACGTCAAGTGATCCATCCACGTTGGCCTCCCACAGTGCTGCGATTACAAGCGTATGCCACCGCGTCCGGACATCCAGCCAAATTTTTCAAGAGCTGTTGACACTATTATCATTTCCTCACCATTCATACATTCCTCCATATAATATAGCACTTCCAGCCCTACTACCCTACAGAATCTCCTCTTCCTAAGGCCCTCTATGATCTTTACATGGTCATCTGGTAAATATCTTTTAGTCACTTTATCTGCTCTATCAATGGCATCCCACATAGCTGACTGTTCCTTTCTTCTTGATACTTTGTCTCTCTTGACTACTGAGATACTGCATTCCCCGACTTAGTTCCTTCTTCTCTGGGCCTGTGGACTCACTGTCTTCCAATAGTTGGTTCCTCCTCTCTATCTGATGTTCAAATGTTGGAGATTCCCTAGGCCTAAGCTCATTTTTCTTCTTGCTTTACATTCTCCCCCAATGCTTGCTTATCCATGGGAGGGAGAGAAGGGAGGGAGGGAGGGAGGGAAGGAAGGAAGGAAGGAAGGACAGACCGACTTTTCAGTTGAGCATGGCAACTTGCGCCTATAATCCCAGAAATTTGGAGGCTAAGGCAGGAGGATCACTTGAGCCCAGGAGTTCCAGACCAGCCTGGGCAACAAAGTGAGCCCCTCTCTCTACAAAAAGTACACACAAGAAAATTAGCCAGGCATGGTGGCACACAACTGTAGTCAAAGCTACTCAGTAGGCTGAGGCAGGGGTATCACTTGAGCACACATGAGTTCAAGGCTGTAGCGAGCTATGACTGCATCACTGCACTCCAGTCTGGGTGACAAAGCAAGATACCCTGTTTCCAAAAAAAAAAAAAACAACAAAAAAAAAACTTTCCATCTAGCCAATAAAAATTATTTCATTTATCTTGTTTCTGAAAATACTTTATAGAAGTTTCCCCTTTTGTCTCTCCTGACAGAGTGCTGGCCCCTTGCAGCTTGGTGCCTCCCTGATTCATGCATCACAGAACACTCCAATTAATTCTTTAAGATTTAAGTGTGCTTAAGATTTTCTTTTATTACAAGAAACAGAGTCACTCTTCATGCCCTGAATTCCTACACTCTCTTCACCATCTTCAGAAACAGCTCCCCAATTCTGCACATTCTTTCTACCATCACCATCACCATTCTAGCTCAAGCCCCTACTCAATCTCACTTGGACTGCCTCTGTAGTCTCTTTATTTTATTTTATTGCTTGAGACAGAGTCTTGCTCTGTCTCCAGGTGCCAGGCTGGAGTGGAGTGGCGTGATCTTGGCTCACTACAACCTCTGCCTCCCCAGTTCAAGCAATTCTCCTGCCTCAGCCTCCCGAGTAGCTGGGACTACAGGTGCATGCCACCATGGCCAGCTAATTTTTGTACTATTAGTAGAGAAGGGATTTCACCATGTTGGCCAGGATGGTCTCAATCTCTTGACCTCCTGATCTGCCCGCCTCGGCCTCCCAAAGTGCTGGGATTACAGGCGTGAGCCACAGCACCCAGCTATTTTATTTTTAAATTTTTATTTACTTATTATTATTATTTTTTAGATGAAGTCTCACTTTGTTGTCCAGGCTGGAGTGCAGTGGTGCGATCTCCACTCACTGCAACCTCTGCCTCCTGAATTCAATCGATTCTCCTGCCTCAGCCTCCCGAGTAGCTGGGATTACAGGCATGAGCCACCACACCCAGCTAATATTTTTTTGTATTTTTAGTAGACACGGGGTTTCACCATTTTGGCCAGTCTGATCTCAAATGCCTGACCTCAAGTGCTCCACCTGCCTCGGCCTTTAAACTGCTGGGATTACAGGCGTGAGCCACTGCGCCTGGCTTATTTACTTATTTTTTGATACAGGGTCTTGCTCTGTCACTCAGGCTGGAGTACAGTGGTACAACCATAGTCCACTGCACCCTCAAATTCCTGAGCTCAAGATATCCTCCTGTCTCAACCTCCCGAATACCTAGGACTATATGTGTGCACCCACCACATTAAAAAAATATTTTAATTTTTTACTTTTTGTAGAGATAGGGTTTCGCTGTTCCCTAGGCTGGTCTCAAACGTCTGGCCTCAAGTGATCCTTCCTCCTTGGCCTCCCAAAATGCTGGGGTTACAGACGTGAACCACCACGTCTGGTCAGTAGTCTATATCTGTTCTTCTTTGGCACAGTGTGCCATGCTATCTGCCTGCTTAAAATCTACAACAGTCTCTCAATGACCTTAGAATAAAGAGCAAACTCCTGGCTGGGTGTGGTGGCTCACACTTGTAGATCCAATACTTTGAGAGGTGGAGCCAAGTGAATTGCCTGAGCCCAGGTGTTTGAGACCAGCTTGGACAACATAGTGATACCCCATCTCTATTTAAAAAAAAAACAAGGCCGGGCGCGGTGGCTCAAGCCTGTAATCCCAGCACTGTGGGAGGCCGAGGCGGGTGGATCACGAGGTCAAGAAATCGAGACCATCCTGGTCAACATGGTGAAACCCCGTC